GAACAGTATGGTACAAATTATTTATGATCTATAGGCAGTTGTCAGACCAAAGGTTTCTGATGGTCATGAGCAGACAAACGCCTCAGCTGACTGAAGAAAGAAGTGACTTTGCTTGTGGGAGGGTGACAGCCCCCTTCACTCTGTTCATATGTCAGAGGGGGCCTTCAGGTTTTCCCATTCTGCTTTTCCCAGGAGCAGCTTGTGCTGAATGCTGTGGGGGATAAATGGTCATGCCATTCTGTGTTTTTCTCAGTGTGGGAGTGGGGCTGTGCCTGGGTCTTTAGGCAGGATCTGGCCCAGCGCTGCTGCCTTAATAGCCTTTTTGGGACGGGCGAAGGGGGGGGTGGGAGCAGTAACCGTGGCGCAGTCAGGAATCACTCTTGCCTTTCCCTAGCCTTGGGCTCCTGTTCCTGAAGGTGGCACTCTTCTCTGCTGTCTGGTGAGCTGTGAGCTCAAAGGAGGTGGAAGTGGTTAACTCTCCTCTCTTACTGTGACCATCGAGGGTTTTTTCCATGTATTTTGATCCCTTGTCTGGCTGGCATCCCTCCGGTTTATACCCTCATTAACTCACCCTTGCTGCTTGTGAAAGTCAGTAATGAAATGCAACGTAAGGAAAACCTGTGACACAGTCCCAAGGAAACTGTGCCCTGAAATCTCCTACCAGAGACAGCTGCTTCACAGCACTCTTTTGCTGATTGCCACAGCAGCAGCTGGGCTTATCTCCAGAGCCACACTGGGGACAAATAGCTGTGTGGATGCTTGCCTTTAGTGTAGTTTAATGAGATTTGCTGTTTTCCCTTAGAATCTGCCCGGTCGTGGGGAGGGAGCACTGGGTGGATGCTTTCCTTTAGTGTAGTTTAAAGGGATTTGCTGTTTTCCCTTAGAATCTGCCACAGGTGTCTGGGTGGACAGCCCAGCCTCCCTGAGCAGGCTCCTGCATGGTGTCATCAGACCCTCTGCTTGCCCTGGCTCTGGGGTCACCAGGCTGCAAGAAGGGCCTGGCATGTCCCTGGGCTGCACTGACTCTTTCCTCTCTTGTAAGCAGGTCCTGTAGTTACTCTGTGACTTCTGTTGCACCAGCACTTCCTACTTTTTTGCCCATTTTTACTGCCAATTACAAAAGTGAAGCAAAAGCTTCATATATTTTCAGCTGTGTACAGAGGCTTTTCTTCTCAATGCAGTCCTGGCTGGGGTGCTGCTCTGCTGTTTTTTTGATTGATTGGCAGGTTGTTTTCAGATGGGCTTGGTTGCTCGGCTTTGTCTTTCCTTTTGCTGGATTTCATTTTGGATTCATTCTTTGTTTTCTGATTTGCAAGAGTTTGCTCAGCCAGCCAGATACTTCAGTCTCTTCTCGTAACTGTTTTGGGCTCTTGTCTTAGTTTGTTGAACAAACCTTTTTCTCCTAGTTGTGGGAGGGATGTTTTTGCTTTGTCCTGATAGTCTGTTCAAGGACCGCTTATCCTGCGAACACGGTCAGCTTTGAACAAGCCTTTAATTTCCACTTGGGGAAAAAATTTTCTAGTATCTCCTACCAGACACAGAAGACTCCTGGGTGTCCTTCCCGTCTCAGTCTGACCTTGTGATTTCCAGGCTGCCCCTTGCCTGTCTCAAACTACCCTCTCTAGGCCATGAACCTCTGCATCAGCACCCAATTACAAAATTGAAAGGATTAAAGTACTTTTGAAGTCTCTCAGAACTAAGCCATTTCCTTTTTCCCTGAGCCAAAGCTGAACTTTTCTTCTACTTTCTTTCCCCCATATTCCCAGTGTTTATCTGAATAAGCCTGCTGTTGTCCCCAGCATTCACTTTGCAGGTGCAGGATAGGTCTGTTGTTGTCAGACTGGTTTTGCTGTAATCTTTGCTTTTGGCAGGAAGTTACCTTCAGCCTCCCTGCTCCCGGACCATCCTTTGGCTGCCCCTGGCCTGTGTCCCATCTCTTGAAGGCATTGCAATGCCTCCTCTAGCTGAAGCCGATGGGCTGAGAGAGAACAGTACAGGGGCCTCAAATAGTCCTTAGCCTGAGAAAGGTGCAGTGGTCACCACAGAGTAGGTGAGGATGGTGTGGCTGGCCAGGTTCCCACAGCAAACTTGGAGAGAAGGGAGGGGGAGGGGATTGGCCAGTGACTGAGGGTGAGAAGCTGTTTTTGGGAGGAATGCGTTGGATGAGCTGTCAGCCTGCTCAGGAGGAAGGTGGAATGAAGTTCAGCACCTC